ATAAAGGATTCTAAACAAAGTTTGGTGTATTTGTAACACAGGATTTAAAAATAGGAAACGCTCGAATACAACCTAAATAAAATATGCATCAGTTCTCTGGACAGCTTGAACATCAGTACAGCTGGACTTTACGCACTAAGGTATGATTTGTTAATGTATTGATGAGTATTTCTGCAAAACAGAGGCTGACTTGAGATGTAAGATGAGATACTGTTATGTATCTATGATTTCATGCTTCAGATGATCTCAACAGATCGTGAACATGTACATTTATACAGTTTGGTGCACTGTAACAGATGTATTTCAAACCCCACAGCAATGTGAATTCGTGCACTTGGTTATATGCGTGGTCTCCTGGGAAACAACCCCCCCTCAATACTGCACATACTCCCCACTGAGCAGCCCTCCTCATGCAGACCCTTGCTCCCTTTTAATTTTCCTAGCTTCCAGCCCTTTGAACCAAGTGTTGCTTCATTCATTAATATTTATTTCCCTTTACATCACTTTGATGGTGGAGCCTTTTAAATGTTTAATTTGGTTCAGACCCATTAAACAGTAATGCTGGAGTCTTTTAATTCTAATGTATATATTATGGCACAGGCTGAGCACAGGCTGTGGGAATGACCCGTATACTCGGCAACACGATGGCCTTGTTTCATGTTTTCCACATTTCTCTGTTGTTTCAAAGCATGACGTCCTTCTCATTGCAAAGTTTAATTAAAAATAGCTTTTCATCATAGCTGTTAATCTTTAATCTCTACTTCTCCTGCTTTGTGCTACAGAGTTAAAACATAAAATCAGTAATGGTTAGTTGGTTTACGTGGATTTTCCTCATCAGTCCAGTTTGTTTAAAGAGCCAAAATAACATTACACATTTGTATATTGTCACTGGCACTTTCACTGTTGTAGACTTTGTTAACCAGATTAATTACTGCATGGGACAGTAAATCATTAGGGGCCTATACTCAGTAATGCAGGACAATAATGTGATTGGCCATTTTATTCAATAACAATCAATAAAAGGGATTACAATAAAATACTAGAATGACACTCAGCAGCGTGCATACCTCCGCCAAGACCCAACAGTCCCTTAATAAAACCACATTCACAATCACTAGATCCGGAATTTTATTTCAGTCTGCACCAGATTGCACACACTCATTAATATCAGTCCCCTAAACATGGCTGATGTCTTTTTCATTAAGATTCATGAATTATTCTCAGAGAAATCAAGGAAAATGTCTGAAAATGGCCTATCTTGCAAGGTTCAATTAAGTTTTAAAAAAAAGAAGACTCCTGGATCCACCCACACCAAGTTTCATGGTAATCTGTGCAGTATTTTTTTGTGTAGTACTGTTAACTATGAGACAAACAAACACAGAGGAAACCATAACCTCCATGGTGAAAGTAATACATTGATGACATTACAATTACTATTTCCACGAATGATCTGTTAGTTTACCATCTATGAATTTGTTAAAAAAGGCTTCAGCTGGCCCATGAGCTGGAGAACTATGTTCGATAATTTCAGACAGAGGCTGATCTGATGGAGCTGTAGAGGGATGACAGAGGTCTAGCAAATGAACGTGCTTGAATTTCAAACAAACATCAGGTGTATTTGAAAAGCGTGTTCGTAGTGTGCAAAAAAGTGTGGTAACTTTGAATATTTAACAGTGGCCAAATATACTTTCAAATCAGTTGATAAAGATGAATTCACAGAGCTGTAAATAACTGTTTGCTGTTTGTTTGCAACGCCGCATATCCAATGAATCAGATTAAAGAGACAGTGTGCAAAGTGTTTCACAAGTTCTTTTTGCAACTGACCTTTATCGTAAGAGGAAATTACTAAATACGATTTTATTGAGTTGAAGTATAAAGTAGAACAAAATGGAAAGGAACCTTGGAGCTTTATTTAAATACAATCCTTACAGGCCCAGTGTTGGGCAACAAGTAACTAACATTACTATAACTATAAAGTGACACTCAGTTGTCCCAGTTGTAAGAAAGGTCTCACAGATCAACCTTTATGTTAAGTACGAAGAACAAATGAATGGTAAGTGATGCATAAAATAGGACTTGAGAGGAACCCAACAACACATAGCCTGAAGCTGTCACTAGAGAAGGGTTTGGCACCATCACAGCTGAGACAAACAGGGGTGAATACCATTAGCATGGATGAGTCCTGCTGGAGGCCACAGCACCGGCCAGCACAGCAGGATCATGTCTGGAATTAATGTGAAGGCACAATATTGTAACAGCTGTTAGACCGTTGGATGTGACAATATGTGTAAGGAAGTATATCCACATTTGTTTAATATCATGCTTCTTTAATTCTGAATATATTGTTGATTAACCATTGATATCAGCAGCAGAAATTCCTCCGATACTGCTAAAAATTTCAGGTCAAGGAACGGTGATATAGCAAATCTATGTAGTGATTCAAGTAATGGAAGTATATTAGCTTCCCCCAGAGAAAAACTGCGATTTCCATTTCCTGGATATCACTTCTTCTTCACTGTTCCAAAACAGCAGTTGTGCTGCTCTGCCACTGGCAAGTACTGTTTTGAGAGAGGCAAAGAAGTAGTCATTTCCGGTGGTGTAGCATTAGCCAGAGCGAGTTCAAATGTCAGCAATTTGGTCAAACAACAATGATTACAATCGTCACTTTAATACAGAGTTAGTAGCATACAGCTGTTGAAATATGTAATATATTGTTTTGTTTTTCAAATGCACTGGTATTGGATCATGAGTCAGTATCCACCAATAGGCAAAGTCGAGGTACATGGATCTGTATCGTAAAGGAGGAACGGTATAGAAACACACTAATGCAGTCTATGGTTTGTCCACTTTTCTCAAGTTAATATATGAAAGTTTTACCACAATTTGTCAAAGAGCAGGTGTCGCTTACAGAAGTTACATTTGTGTGTTCGATGGAACAATTTGCTCTGTTTCTGCACAGCTGTTGCAGCACCAGCTACGTTAAACCTACATTTCTGCAAGGCCCCTCTGCTACAGTCTTCAGTGGCAGTAATTAGGAGGTGTTCCAGACCCATTTTACACATAACTAACAGAAGAAATACACTCATATCTTCATCAATCCAGCTGTCGATACAAAACACAACAGAACAGCTTACGTTTAATTCCCTAATATATGCTTGCAAAGTTTGTATTTTATTTAAGTTGCTGGGCTCTGAGCGCTGCCAAAATTGAAGTGGCTTATATTCGGTGGACCTCAGATATCTCCATCTTAATCCATCTACAAAGTATTTCTTAACAGTTATGGCTGAAAAAGTGTACTTTGTCATCACTTCCACTACGTTACTGTTATTATGATGGGTTAGTTGTTTTCTGTAGCACCTGCAGCAACAAGTGATTTTTATCCCATAATAAATTAATTATTCAGAATTATTGGGATATTTTGGATACACATAATATAGGAGGGGAGTTGGAGGATGAAATTGATGATGGCATCCTCAAAACAGACTTAAATGTGATAATGAAGATGTCCAGACCTTCTGTTTACAGTGTGTGTGTGAGACAGGTGTTAAAAAACTATCCTCATTTTTAAATACAGAGAAAAATGATTATTTGAGCCATTGGAGTAAATAAAGTAGAAAGGGGTGTGTGTGTGTGTGTGTGTGTGTGTGTGTGTGTGTGTGTGTGTGTGTGTGTGTGTGTTTTTCAGTAATGAGCACCTTCCAGGCAGGTTACTGTGATGACAACTGGCGCTCTCCTTTCCACACAGCGATGACAAATGATGGTGGCAGCCCAGAGTCTAATTATAAAGTGGGCCCAACAAACCAGTGTCTCTCACTGCTTATTGCCTCTGAAGAGAAAAGAATGGCTATTCCTGTGGAGTTCACTGTATTCTTCTATCTTTCATGTGTTTCCCTCCTTCAGAAACGTGATGGTTACTGTGCGTTGCACCTCCTCCTCTTCCACCTACACACTAGCCGCTCTCATCCACCGGCAAGATATCTTCCCCGATGACTTTTTTTTCCAGGAAGTAATGACATCACCAACGGGGTTGTCATGGTTATTAAACTATAGCAATGAGACTTTGAGATTTTCAATCTATTCTTTAAAATGCACATGGGGGGAGGTGTGTGCATTGTGTGGTTTGAGGAGTAAATATTCCTGTACATACCCAAGAGTAGAGTAAAGAGTAAAGTACTTTGGTGTCCTACGGATGATATTACGCACACTCGCTGGCTATACGGCCCCAGGACGGACATATTCAAAAGTACCAGAGCGCAGGATATAGGAACAGAAAGGGAATATAATATTCATAGTTATGTTTTCATTCATGTAAATCACCTGAAACTAAGAATATCCATGATTTTGTCGCACTGGCTCTTAAGAGGGCCTTTTACATTCTACATTACCTGAAGGGCATTATCCTGTATGCTTGGAAAGGGGGTGGGGAAGTGAGTGGTATTCAGTTGACTGTAACCTCACCGTGAAACCCCAGGGGCTCCAGAGATAATGATTTATGATTTGAGGGTCAAGTAAAGAGAAATGTTCCGATACAGAAACCAGCATCAGAAATACCAGGTCGGGCATCAGTGAGTATGGGATTCTATGAAGCTATCGGACACAATGTCTTTACAGTGTATTAGTTTCCCTTTGATAAAATTGAAATGTAGTTTTCATGGAAATCACTTCTTCTCTGCCGTTGTGCAGCAAAGTAAATCAGTGACGTGAGCAATGTGCACGACTTGAGTTTCCAGGAGTGGTACTAGTGTGGCCAATTACAAACACTAGCAATAGGCCACACAGCAATTATAACAAGTTCGCCCACCTAAACCCTAAATATAAAACTTCACACAATCATGAAACGGAGCAAGCAAAACACTCATCTGGGCCTCAGATTTCAAAATGGCCAACTGCTGCTGCCAGTTTCCAACAAACACCACTAATGAATCACCAGTGTTAACTTCTACAGACATGAAGAAGCATTCATAACTTTAGGCGGCAGAGGAAAGAAGTGGTGTACTCACCATGAAGACGTGATGAGGAAACACAGTGTGTTGTTGTGGTTGATGAAGAAGAATCCGTGGTTTAGTCTCAGTCCAGGCTCCTTGTTCTCTCTCTGATATTAAACCGTCACGTTATGGATCCTCAGGAAGTTTTCAAACGACGCAGACMAAATGTCAAACTTCGCTCACAGTTTCCAGGTGTGGCGGGAAGCGTCGGAGAAATACATTCCCCGGCATGCAGCAGGTGCAGTTCCGCTTCCTCCTCCTCCTCCTCCTCCTCCGCTTCCGCTTCCTCTTCCTCTTCCTTTTCCTGCTCGTGTCAGTGACTCCGGCGGTAACGTTATAACAGTGCTAATGCTAATGCTAACGTCAGCCGAAGGTTGACCTGTTGCTAACAGGAAGTGAAAGGAGCCAAAGGTCAGAAGTTCAACACCTGCGCTGCCCCCACTGGTTGAATCAGGTCACCTCTCATTCCTGTATTCTACAATAATAGTTTTGTATTCATGTATTTATATGTCATTTCATTTATATAAACTATATAAAGATGGACAATGCATTTCCACTTCCTCCCGCTATCCAAATATGAAAATAAAGATATTTCAGATACAAACTCTGCCATCGGAGAATAGAGCATCGAGGTTCAGCGCTCGACCAATCACGCGTCAGTCTCAGCTGTCAATTATGATTGTTTGGCCCATTTTTAAATCATCAAGCAACTAATTTAAATCAACCGAAAAAGGAAACACTTGGAAAATATCTACCCGAAAGGACAGAAACCATATTTGACATGTACTTTGAGTTTTTAATTTGGTCGTGTCTCATCCATTAACATGGAGGGGATTTAAGATTTACTGCCTATTCTGCAGCCAGCCACCAAATGAAGATCGAGACGCTTTGATTTCACTTTTGGGGAGCTGCTATTTTGTCCATCTTTACTTAGAGTCTATGAGGTAGTCAAAGTCAAAAGTAAACTTTATTATTATTCTGCCATATGAACAGGATTTAAATGCTGTTTCCCTCTGATTCCCAGTGTAAACATATAAGCAGAAAGAAACATATAAGTAGAAAGAAACATATAAGTATGCAACATAGTAACAACAAGACATAGTACTCAGTACAGCATAGTATGCAGTCCTATGGCATATAGTCCATAGGATGAGAGTAGTGGAAAAATGGATTGAGGGTGCAGAAATACTTCATGGGAAGTAGTGTAGTGTAAATCCACTCCCAACAATAGACTGAGCACCCGATATTGTGAGCGCTAGTTTGGCCAAAGAGTCGTGAAGTTCTTACAACCCCAAAATCTCCTCTTATCACATTTCTAGCAAATAAGTGCAGTCACCTCGTTACATAAGAGAGCAAGCCAAAGCATGTAGATGAAAAACAGTTGGAGAGGAGTGGAGGTGGTGGTGCAGCACGAAGACCCAGCAGCTGCAGCTCCTCCTTCACCCTGGTGAAATTAGATCAAAAGCGACTTTGATATTCCTACACTGATGAACAGTCGGCATCATAAAGGGAAAGTACATTATCCAGAAATGTGCTTTCAGGGCTCAGTGACGTCGATTTCATACATTATTAAAATTTCATTGTTCAGCGTGTAGATTATAATTCACATACTGAGCAGAATTTTCTCCCTAATCTCCAATAAAGTCAGGATAAGTGTAAAGAATGCCCTTGTAGGTATTGCTGCTATAATGATATGTACAATAGTGGACAATTAGCTGTGCAGTAATGATTATTATACAGTGGGTGGTTTCTGCCACGCAATTTAATGCCATACATTTTAATTTGTTTAATGCCTTAAGTTAACCCACACTCAATACTGATTAGGCCTAAATTTAATTCTGCACCCAAGGTGCTATACAGCAGAGAAGTGATTTAAATGGAAATGTGCTTATTCCATTTGAAGCACTTTCATGAGACTGGTGATTTGAATTGAATTTCAAAGTTATAAGGTATTTCACATAGTGTAGCTCGGTCGATTAGAAATAGAAACGTAACCAAAGATTTCTTTTATTGTGTTCGATTTTTGGGGACAGAAATGAGTGACGGTAAATGTAATGAACTGCTCTCACAGAATAGATTATTGACTCCTTGCTCTTCAATTTAACTGCAGAGGAACAGTCTGATGCACTTGTGAAGTATCAGGACAAGGTTAAATCGAAAAGCAAACATCCAAGGTTTACTCTCCAATTACGGAATCAGATGCCAGGAGAGAGACAGCAAACACAAACTGAACTCTGCAGGCAATGCTTGTGATGTAGCGCCCTCTATGGGCCATGTGTTATAAGCCAGAGCTGGTATGTACTTCCAACTGATTGTGTGTTTGTCAGACCCTGACGAAAACCTGGAGTCGATGCACGTTGATTTGTTTGTTTGCCAATATGCTCGAGGAATGAATTAATATTGTTTCACCTGCAGAGCCTGGCCTATTTTTTATTCAGTGGTTGTCTGTGTTATTTAATACCAAGCAAGTCTTTTGGGATCCTTTTTATTTATGTTTTTAGATTAAAAGTTTCTTTTTTGCCAGTATTAAGATAACTTTAATATGAAAGGCAGATGGAGACACGAATCAGGCAGAAACTCAGACCGTGAAAGATATTAGTTTCCAGAAATTCCTAGGCAACTGCTGCTTCTGCTTCCAAGATGAGTTTATTATATAATATTTTCTTCTTTTGTACCCAAGAGAGATTTTGTGCAGTGGATGTTGACGGCAGAACAGCTCCTGTGTAACCATACTGCCCCCTATTGCAAATAAAGACAATCCCAGCATCATGCCTGGTGCTCGCCTGACTTCAGAGCAAAATACTTTCTGTCGGATTATTTCATAAAGTTTATACCTTTCCAAAAAATGTGTGAAAAGGAGAAACCCATGAAAAGTAGAAAGTGAGAGCTCAGGGAGTTGAAGGCAGGAATGTCTGCAGAGCTGACAAAACACCCAGTTATTAGTATAAATGTTTGGTTTTACAGAAGCATCTTTCTTAACCAGCATCATTTCATGCTTGTGAAGTATTTTTGCAGAAATTAATAAGCAATACTTCCAATAGCTGAAGAAAACCACAGACGTTTCATTTTGAATCAAAATTGAGTGAAAGATTCTAATGAATTTCCGTTGAAAACTCCTCCTGCTCAGGTTTCAATAAGACACATGGGCTGGTGATGTTACCTTCCACTGTTTTCTGCTCCTCCATTATTCCACATCAGACACACTGACGACAGAACGTAATAGGACAACCTGCCACCTCTCTATTAAACAGACCATGAAATTGACAGAGCCGACCTCAGCCTTATTATCTTGATGTGTTCCACCTTCAGCGTGCAACATTTAATATGACATGAGGGCAGGAGCACGGAGAGAGGAGCACTGTGTGTTTAGTGATGAGGGTCAAACTACAAGCAAAGGAAATGGTTATAATGAGACGAGGGATGTGCATTTTATTTTTGTCAATTTGAGGATGCTGCTGAACGATGAGCGCTTGTCGTAACATCTATGAACTGGCCTCTGTCTCCCTCCGGTGGCAGGTGGTAGATCTTTCTTTAAATTGTTACTGTATGTTAAATATTACTGTGGCAGCTGGGAGGAAGTGAGTCAATCTGCCTCTGATGATTCCAGCAGCATTTTGACAGACATTTTCCTGTTGCTCTTCCTGTATCTGCATTATGAGAGGTCGATAAGTCAGAATACACAGTCGGCTGGCCAGGAGACATCCACTGTTTTTATAGTTTTACTGTATTTGTACAACAGATGCTTACACAGCTTCTCCAGAAGGACAAATATTTGAAATATGACTCTGTCCTCGTATGCCCTGATTAGAAATCACACATAGACACAAACTGAACAGAGATGAGATCATTCTGTGGTCAATACACCATCCTCATAAAAGGCAATATTTCATTCTGTGTTATTGTCTGTGTGAAAAGTGCACAGTAAGCACCCCGGCCAGAAGATTAGATCTATGAATTAAAACTGGGATCAGTTTGGTTGGATGTCATTAA